TGTGTTTGCTTGATCTCCAGCCGGAAGCCCTGTCTGATGGGGTTCTTACACCTGTGGGACATGGGCCCCAGCTGGGAGATGTGGGCCACTGGGGGCGGGCTTTGGAGGATTACACCTACCTCTGCTTCCAGTCTGAAGTTGCATACCTCCTGATCTATCAAGATGTGAAACGCTGCTGTCTTGTGATCCCAGCACTGTGGAGGCAGCTGTCCCTGGCCACCTCACCTTCCTCACCGTGACGCTGGTGCCTTTAAAACCATCAGCCCCAGGAAATCTCCCAGAAGTCACTCCTGCCAGGTGTTTGGTCAGAACAACGAGGAAAGTGACTGAATATAGGTGATCACTCTGAAGTCCAAGGAGAGACAGGCTGTGCCAGCAGCCCTCAGGGGAGCTTCTCAGGCAACAGTAACTTGGTCCTGTCACATGACTTCACCGGGGACCTTGGCAAGACCCTCCCCCACCCAGCCATTAAAAAACAATGGCTAAAATACATTTTTCAAATGACAAAATCACGACTCATGATTGGTTCATAATATAACAGGAACACACATCAAAGACTTATTTAACTTATGGATTGAATGGGGACCCGTAACTCACACAAATTGGAGAAATTTGAGAGAAATTCAAAGGACAGAAAGCTGGAAATACTGGAAAACATTGGCTGACAGAGGCAGGACTGGCTTCTTCCATGGGAATCAAAGTCAGTTTCATCTTTTTTTTCCCAGGAAAAACTCACTTGCCGGCCTGTAGACAGGCTTCCCACAAGTGGATTTCTTCCATTGCTGAGCTGAGCTGCAGAGTCTCCAAAGACAAAGAACAGCGTAGGCTCCTAAGAAGTGGAGAACCTAGGAAGGGTCTTCTAGAAATCTACGAGCTGTATTTTTTTTAAGATTTATTTATTTATTATGTATACAGTGTTCTGTCTGCACATATCCCTGCAGGCCAGAAGAGGGCACCAGATCTCATTACAAGTGGTTGTGAGCCACCATGTGGTTGCTGGGAATTGAACTCAGGACCTCTGGAAGAGCAGTCGGTGCTCTTAACTACTGAGCTATCTCTCCAGCCCACAAGCTGTATTTTTAAAACTCAAAAAGCACCAATTAATTTTAAGAGCATAGTGTACTGAACCCAATCATTCCAACATGAAATTTCTGACGATGTACTGTGTGTTATGGGGGCACTTTTGAACTGTCTTTGTAATTCAGTGTGTACCAGACTCGTCATATTTCAAGTGGCCATTGTGGTTTAGCAGCCTGATAAGTACCGTGAGACAATGTCTCATCCCAACAAAAGGATACCCAGGTGTCATTTTGCATATTTAAAAGCCATTCAGATTTTTTTCTGAAAAAAAAAAAATACAATGAGTTAAACAGAAAGGTTTTATTTTTTTTTAAGCTAAACAAATGTCTTTTAAAATATAATCTCATTTTTAATGAGAAAAAAACTTATACTAAGAGAGTGGAGAAATTGGTTAGACAAGGTGGCTTACACCTGTAATTTCAGCCCTTGAAGATGGACACAGGAGGATCAGGGCTTCAAGTTCAGCCTTTCTAGGGCATTTGAGGCCAGCCTGGGCTACATGGGACCCTGTCTGTAAAAAACAAAAGTGCATGGGAGAGGGGTGATGTCAAAATCTTTGCTGTGATTCTCTCTGAAGAAGGGAAATGTAGGTGTGGTTTTTTTTTCCTTTTTTTTTTTTTTTTAAATTTATCCTCTATAATTTTCCCACAGCAAATAAACCTGCTTCTACAATAAAAAGAAATCAATAAAACGCAATTTTGAAAAGAGCACATTTTAAAGCTGCCAAGCTGGGTTTTATTTACCGTGAGCAAATTTTAGTGCAATATCGGGCCACGTGCCCCCAGGCCATTTATGTTTCTGGAATCTTCTTTGGGGGTTATTCTTAAGCCTAGGACCTTAGGAGAAAAAAGCCTCCAAAAATGATGAAATGAGGTTCCTGGCATGAAAACAGAATGTTCTCAGGAAGACTCGGGGTCTACAGCAACATGGATAAATGTTGCTTTTCTCCCTTCTTCCTGCCTCTTACCACACGCAGGTCAAATAACCTTTGAAGGCCAGTGTCCCATTCTTGATGACCATGCCCCATGGATAGGCCATTCTGGTCTGGAGTCCGACCTCTAACCTCACCTGGACCTCTTCAAGTGTTAAGCACCCACTCTGGGATTGATTTTATCCCCAGTATCCTGTCATGTGACCTAAGTGGATAAGGGACACACACCCAAATCCTGGACAAACAGCAATTCCTTTGTCACAGAGAATCGGCCCTCGGGACAGAGATCAGGGCGACTGTGCCCTTTAGCACACTGAGCACATCACAAACTACCATGACTACTTGCTGGGAGCTGGACCTGGGCACACCTAGAATCCCAACACTCAGGGGGCTGAGGCAGGAGGATTGTGAATTCAAGACCAGCCTGGGCTACATAGTGAGATCGATCATGTCTCAAAACAAACAGCTTAGCCGCGGGTCCTGGTGTCCGCCCCCTGCCTCTCTCACACTAGCCAGCTGCTACGAATATTTCTCCTACCATGATAAAAACAGTTTTCTTCCAGCCTTGTGGACTCTATGACCACATTAAGTCGATATGGAACTATGTGGGACAGAGCTTGGCACGCATAAAGATGTCCTCGGTGTTGGCTGCGCACGACACTTGTACAAAAGAACCCTCTCTATCAAAAGAGCGAAGGGGTGTTGAGAAGGGAGTCTTGTGTTTTCCTATGAAGAATGCCAACCTGGGCTTCTCCAGCGGTCATCGGAGAGGCTTTCTCTGGCAGCAGATGGGAGCGGGTGCAGAGACCCACCGCTGGACGTTATGTGGGGAGAGAGTCTAAACTGGAGGTCTCTCTCCATCGGGTCCCTCCCCTCAGAGCTCAGGGAACCCTGCAGAAGAGGCGGGGGAGAGATTGGAGTCAGAGGGGGTGGAGGCCACCAGGAGAACACGTTGGCCCACTGCATCCACTGAGCAGGTCTCCTTGGGGCTCACAGAGACCGAAGCAGTGAGCATAGGGCATGCGTGGGTCTGCGCCGGGTCCTCTGCATACGTTATGGCTGGGAGCTCGGTGTTTTGATGGGACTCCCGGACGGACAGGGGGCGCGGGTTTGTCTCTGGCTCTTTCGCCTGCCGTTAGAACTCTATTACTCCTACCGGGTTTGCCTTACTCAGCCTCCGTACAAGGGCTTCTGCCTTGTCTTATTGTATCTTGTTTTGTCCTGTTTGGCTGCCGTCTCTTGGAGGCTTGCTCTTTGCTGAAAAGGAAATGTTGGGGGGGGGGTGGATTTGGGGAGGATGGGTACTGGGAAGAGTGGAGGGAGGGGAAACTGTGGTTAGGATATATTGTGTGAGAGAAGAACGTTTTCTATTAAGAAAAAAAAATAGGATGGGGTCAATTAATATGATTTTTAGTATTTCTGAACCAAGCAAAGTGAAGTCAATGACATCCTTGACAGTAGATTCACACTTGGCACCACCCTCAGCCCCTGCCTGGAGGGCAGCTTCTGAGTCAGGGGAGAGGTATTCTTCCCCCGGGACACCAGAAAAATGAAGCCACACAAATTTAAGAAACTAATCTCTAGCAAGAAGCAAAGGGCCGGGCGGTGGTGGCACATGCCTTTAATCCCAGCACTCGGGAGGCAGAGCCAGGCGGATCTCTGTGAGTTTGAGGCCAGCCTGGGCTACCAAGTGAGTTCCAGGAAAGGCGCAAAGCTACACAGAGAAACCCTGTCTCGGAAAACCAAA